AAGTATACTTCATCAGATATAAGTATAGCCATCCTTGCTGTCTTTTAATTGTCATTTGCATGGACTATATACCCATACCTTCATTTTCAACCTATATATGTCCTTAAAGCTTCAGTGGGTCTCTCGTAAGTAGCATATAGTTCATATAGTTGGATATCATTCTCTTTTTGTTCCCATTTAACCACCATATGCATTTTAATTGGAGAACTTAGCCCATTGATATTCAGGGTTATTACTGATAGGTAAGGACTTACGACTGCCATTTATTATGTGTTTTCTGATTGTATCATAACTCTTTTGTTTTTCTTTCTGTCTGTCTATCTTTATAATTTGGTAATTTTTGGTAGTGTTAAACTTTGATTTATTTCTCTATCATTTATATATCTTGCTGTAATTTCTTATTTTGTAGTTACCATGAGACTTCCATGAAACATCTTAGTTACCATCAACTATTTCAAGCTGATAACAACTTAATTTCTATCACATAACAAAACTTTGAAATTTTACCTATCCTCTCCCAATTTGTGTTTTTGATTTCATAATTTATATCTTTTTATAATGTGTATTCTTCAATAACTTACTGTAGATTTAGTTATTTTCAACTATTTTGATTTTTAACCCTCACACTAGAGATATGTACGATTTACACACCACCATTATAGTATTGTAGTAATCTTAATTTGACTAGGTATTTATCTCTACTAGTGAGCTTTGTACTTTCATATGTATTCATGCTAGCAATTATTATCCTTTCATTTCCACTTGAAGAACACCATAAAGCATTTCTTTTTTTTCTTTGAGACAGAGCCTCAAGCTATCCCCCTGGGTAGAGTGCCATGGCATCACGCTCACAGCAACCTCCAACTCCTGGGCTCAAGCGAGTTTCCTGCCTCAGCCTCCCAAGTAGCTGGGACCACAGGCGCCCGCCACAACGCCCGGCCATTTTTTGGTTGCAGCCATCATTGCTGTTTGGCGGGCCCGGGCTGGGGATTCGAACCCGCCACCTTAGGTGTATGTGGCTGGTGCCTTAGCCGCTTGAGCCACAGGCGCCCAGCCCCTTAAGCATTTCTTGTGTGGCAGGTCTAGTGGTGATAAATTCTTTCAGCTTTTGCTTATCTATGAGATACTTTATTAATTTCTACATTTTTGGAGGATAGCTTGGTTGGGCATAGTGTTCTTTGCTGACATTTTTTTTCCTATTAGCACTTTAAATACATCATCCAATTCTCTCCTGGCCTACAAGTTCAAGGATCCACTAATAGTCTAATGAAAAGTCCCTTATATGTAACTTGACACTTTTCCTTTGTGACTTTTAAAATTCTCTCTTTGTCTTTTGATAGTAATTCTGATTAGTTCTGATTATAATGTGCCTTATAGAGGACCCTTTTGAGTTGTATCTTTTTAGGAAATTTTGAGGTTCATGAATGTGAATGTCCATATGTCCTCCAAGACTAGGCAAGCAATTATTTCATTAAATAAGCTTTCTCTGTCTCTTCCTTTTGTAAATGCTAAAGTAAAAATATTTGCTCACTTAATAGTGCCTCATAAGTCCATAGGCTGTCTTCAGTATTTCTCATTCAAAAGACTTATCTTCATGTTCACAGATTCTTTTTTCTGCTTGATCTAGTCTGCTATTAGAGCTCTATGATGTATATTTTATTTCACTATTTGAATTCTTCATGTCTAAGATTTCTGTCTGGTTCTTTTTATGAAATCCATCTTTTTATTAAATTTCAAATCATTGCTTTTCTTTTTTATAATTTCATTAAATTGTCTATTTGTATTCTCTTATATTTCACTGAGTTCCTTGAGGTCATTATTTTGATTCTTTTTCAGGCAGTGTGACACAGCTCAAGCAAGGTGCTGAATCTTTGGGCTTTACAGTGCTATATGCACTCACCCTCAGAAAGCACATCTACGGGGGTCAGTGCAGCCTGTGAGGGAATCCCTGGTGATAGACACTGCATCAGCTGTGGCAGTGGGGGTGGGGGTACAACTGCTATTATGTGTCAGAGGCTCACAACCCCTGGGCCTGGCTGCTGTCTTATCTACAGTTGGAGAATTGGCTGCTCCAAAGTGCCCAAGGCTGATAGTCCCCAGGGGTCAGAGCTGCTGCCTCATCTGTGGGTGGAACTGTATGTCAAGTCCCACCTAAAACAAATAAATACCAATTATTTTAATAATTTGCCCCACCTTGACTCTATGAATAAGTATTTCACAAACTTGGCATTTTGACATCTTTGATATATATGACTAAAAGTCTTCAATCTGAATAAAGAAATTATTAGGGTCATCAAAAGAAGTATAAAAATATCCTGTTAACAAATGTGTTAATTCATGTTTTGGGGAATGGTGAACCCAGCTGGCTTTAGTCTTTAGCCATAAAAACTACCCATCTGAAGTTTGAATGTACAGAAATGAGACTGACTTTTCTTGTAGCCTATAGGACCAGTCTCATTTCTTTCCAGTCCACTATTCCAATAAATTTTCCGTAATCTGTTTTACAAAAAGTAGTTTATATTTATAAACTCAAAAAAATTAAAATAGCCTCAATGAGCTTTTTATTACATTTAAAGCAATTATAGTTACAGTTCACATTTTATAAGTACAATTCCTTTAAACAAAATGAAAAGTATTTTAGTTCCTTCTTAAAAGGAGCTGACATTTTTGCAGCTTCCCAGTTCATCCCTTTTCACTTATCCTCCATAGTCAATCCACAAAGCTGAGGGGGAGGACACCTCTCAGGAACTGCATCAGCCCTTTTTGTCTGGATGCACTGTTTTTAGGTTTCGTTTTGTTTGTTTTTCCTAGTGAATGCCCACCTCTAGATTTTTAAAATAGAAATAATCAAAAGTACGATGATGAGGTTTAATGAAGGAAATCAATATTAAAATAACCTTTTTATTAATAAGATATGTAGAAGAAGATAAGTAAAAGTTCAAGACATAATTTATTTCAACACCTTTAAACACAGGAGGCAGAAGGTAGACTGAGTTGATTATTTGGGACATTTACTGTGAAAAGGATATTAAAGTCACTCATAATTTTTATTTTTTCCCATTTTTTTTAAAGTTACATGATCCTCTAGGTTTGTTTCACATTTTACACATATCAAAGGTGACTAGAATTGACAACCTATGAGATTTGTGATATGTGTATGTAACAGGTAAGATAGAGGAAGATAAAAATCCCTCATATAATTATGATTTCAAGACTGCAGGAAGACAACATTGTCATTTTCCCTGACCGATGATCTTCAATTCCTGTTGCTCCATCATCTAAAATTCATTCACTTTAAAACTAAGTGATGATAAGTCATGAACACTTCTTGGAATCATAACATTTTAGATTGTTAACTATATTTTATAACATCATCTTTGTGGATGCCAGGACCAGGCTCATTTAGAAATTACAGAGAAGACACTCTGTACTTCTGGGAGAGGGCACCCTGACAACAGAAACAGACCAAGAACACTGGGTTCTGGGCATGGGATGATTCCACAGCTTTTGTACATTCACTAGACTTGGCTCTATTCACCTCAGTCACAGCATTCAGGCATGTCCTGTACGTTCTCCCAATCTGCATGGGTTTTATTTTTTATTTTTTTTAAACTTTATTCAAATTAATATGAGGGTACAATATTTAGGTTACATTGTTCTCACTTCCTGGGTAAAGTTCCATTTGTAGGAGAGCCCCTCACTTAGGGGGCGTGTTTTACATATTCACAATGTGCACATTAGGTGAGATCCTGCCTCATGTCCTCCCTCCTTCTGCCATACATCCTCCCCTTTCCCCCTCCCACTTTCCTCTACTCCCCAACTGGAGTATAATAGTGTTTTAGGGACTCAACTACAAAGCTCTTAGAAGTGATCAAGGAGTAGAGCAGTGTCTCAGGTTAAAAAATCAATACCCACAAATCAGTAGCTTTGTATATGACAAAAATTGTCAGACTGAGAAAAAATCAAAGACTCTATTCCTTTTACAGTAGCACCAAAGAAGATGAAATACCTTGGAATACATGTAATAAAAGACGTGAAAGATCTCTATAAAGAGAATATGAAACTTTGAGAAAGGAAATAGATGTCAATGAATGGAAGCACATACCATGCTCATGGCTGGAAAGAGTCAACATTGTTAAAATGTCTATGCTATCCAAAGAAATCTATAGATTTAATACAATCTCCATCAAAGCACCAATGTCATACTTTAAAGATCCTGAAAAAAATAGTACTTCGATTCATATGGTACCAGAAAAAACTGAATAGCAAACACAGTTCTTAGAAGTAAAAACAAATCTTTAGACATCACATTGTCAGACTTCAGGTTATATAACAAGGTTATACTAATCCAAACAGCATGATACTGGCACAAAAATAGAGACACAGATCTATGGAATAGGATCCAGAATCTAGAGATGAACCCAGCCACATATTGTCATTTAATCTTTGATTAGCCTAACAAAAGCATGCAATGGGAAAAAGAATCTTTATTTAACAAGTGGTGCTGGGAGAACTGGCTATCCACATGCAGAAGACTGAAACTGGACCTGCACCTCTCACCATTGACAAAAATTGATTCTCATTGGATAAAACATTTAAATTTAAGACACAAAACAGAAATTCTAGAAGAGAGTGTGGGGGAAAACACATGAAGATATTGGCCTAGGGAAAAACTTTATGAGGAAGACTCCCCACCCCTACCCCCAGCAATTGCAGCAACACCAAATATAAATAAGTGGGACTTGATCAAGCTAAAAAGCTTTTGCCTAACTAAGAGTACCACAAACAAGAGCAAACAGGCAGCCCTCAGAATGGGAGATTTTTGCTTATTATGAATCTGACAAAGGCCTGTATGGGTTTTTAAAACCCAAGTGCTCCTAAACATTTTAGTCACTATGTAATATTGTCCCTTGTAATATTTCGTCCTGGCCTCAAACTGATCTACTTTGTTTCATTCTTGAAATTTTAGCCATGAACATAGAGAAATAAAATTAACTTACCTGGTATTTCTGTTGTTTTGGTTAAACTTTGATTGTCAGCTTTAGGGGAAAGAAAAGAAAAAGATTATGAAAACTAAATGTTGAATATCATATCTACTCTCGTAATTATTTCAGGTGGTAAATGAATATGGATCTTACCTTATTTCTGACTCATTTTTTGTCAAATCATAAAATCAGGAAGCTTCATGATTAGAAAACCTTTAGAGTGGGGGGTCAGCCAACTTTTTATGGTTTTGTGGCCCATAGGTCTCTATTGCAACTACTCTACTTGGCCCTTTAGTATGAATGCAGCCATACAAAATACCTAAAGAAGGAGTATGGCTGTGTCCCAATAAAGCTTTATTTTGAAAATCAGGGGGCTAAATTTGTCTTCTTGGCCATTTGCCAAGTTCTGTTTTAGAACACCTGGTTGAGCCTCACCCTCTTGAACACCCAAGGGAACACAGGGAACAAACCCTTCATTAGGTGCTTCACGAATGAGGCTGTTATGTGTTGTAATCCTACTAAGAAAAGTTGCATCTCATGAACTGGGGAAGACACAGGCAGGTTCCAACAGATACTTTTGAAACCTAGAGAACTCCTTCCTGGTAAATATAGTCCAGGAGAACGTTCTGCAAGGAAAGTCACCGGAGAGAATTACAATCACAGACACTTATCTTTAAGGATATGAACCATGAACAGGATTTGTCACATGAAATATATAGAAAATAGCTTTGGAACAAATAGAAGCCCAATAATGATATGTTTTAAAAAATCTACTTATTTCCTTTGTTTATTCCCTTAACTGTCTATATCAGCATCTTCCCACCTGCTCTTCTACTGTCCACAGATCCCCCATATTTCTCCTCTCAGTTCCTGCAGTAGCTGCCTAGAAAAATCTTTTTAAATGTAAACTGGACTCCATTCATCTCCAACCATCAAGCTTTGCTGTGGTAGATTGAAAGCAGAGGCTCTTCCTGCCCAGGGTTCTCTTCTTGCCCTTCTCTGTGACTCAGCCCTTCTCTCTCAGGCCTCCTCCTTTCACCATCTGTTCAGATGCTGCTGCTCAGAGATGTCCCCCCTTTCCCCAACACTAGTCCCTCACCCTGCTTCATTTGCTCAACCGCCCTTCTATGACTGCAGAGACATTTACTTGTGTCTTCAACAGTTTATATTCTGCTAGAATGTAACTCTGTGAGGGCAGACTTCTTTTCCTGCTAGGAGCTGTGATTCCAGTGGCTAGCAACAGGATTTAGGAGAGTAGATTGCAGTGGAAATGTATGGAATGTTTGGATGAAAATATAACAATAATAAATGAGACTAATTATATCTACGTGAGTTCAATTTTTACAGAAAAATGAATACCTTAAAAAATTGCTAGTTGAGTAAGGGTAACTACCATTTTTAAAGCAATTCTTACTATCAGTTTCATATATTATTGGCTGATGTCTATAAAGAAGATATTATCATTCTAATTTTGTAAATCTGCAAATATTAGTTAGATGGATTAAAATTATTTTCTTAATCATAAACTAGGTATAGGATTAAGGTCTGTTGGTTCTATATTCTATCTTCTTTCACTATAATGGATGGCTTTTCCTTCTACTCAATGGTCCAAATGGAAAGCTTATATAAATAACTCCTACTTTTGACTAGTTAAAATATTTCTACATAAGGTGTAATGCTGCATTTGAAAGATACAGTTAAATATGTATTAGCTTCTAGAGGATTAGAGTCCAAGGGAAATCATACCGTTTGTTTCTCTTATGGGTTGTAAGCTTTCTGGTTGATAGACTTGATTGAGAATGAAAAATTTTAAACTTGTATCAGATAAAATCTTATTACTATCTGTTAGTTGAATTCTTTTTCAGGCTTCAAATGTGTAATAATTCACATATAATATGTTCAGAGGAACACAATGTGTAAAAGAAATATAAATATACATTAAGACACACAAAAACTTTAAAATATAACATAGAGCAATATGAAGTCCTTATACTAAGTGTCCTAAAAGGTCTAGAACTTTATGTATTTATAAGTGAATAAATTCTTATTCCGAGGACAAAATCCTGCAAATCTTAACCTCTTGATCAAAACGTGTGTGTGTATGCATTTCCCCCACATCAGAAAGATATTTTGGAGATGAGAGATGATAAAGTGTTTTCATATGAATATAACTTTCAAATTTGGACTCAGTTCTGTGTACATAAACGCTTAATAGAGATACAGGCTATGGAATATGGCTAAAGTTGTGAGAATTAACAATAAGTAAAGACTTTTGCAATTATTCTTGGTTTTTATTTACAGTTTTCCAGAAACACATGTGTTTTGAGAAAAGGCCAAGCTCTGATCTACAGAGGAAATGAGGAGAGTCAAATAACAAATGAGTATGGTGTGCTTCTGTTAACCATTCTCAAAGATGGGTGTTTAGTGAAGATCAAAACCTTAGAGTTGGTTGGCAACTTACTATCTGTTTGTGGAGGTTGATCCTTGAGTTGAAACTGAAGTCTTAGGAGATGCAAATGAACTTTGAAGCGCTGACCACAGAAATACAAAGCTAAACTTTACTCAAGCATTTAATTTTTAAATCAGAAAGCTTAGCAATACAACAAACAAGTTTGCTAAATATTCTTATTTTACATAGAATATTGTGTTTTTCTAACTCATAAGCTATAGTTACCCATAATGATAACATCACTAATAGGCACAAGAAAAAGAATATATGCAGCTATTTCCTTATAATAATTTTCCACTGAGTTCCTATAGAATAATTTGTGATCAATTCAAGTTTGCCTTACTATTCCTCCATATGGCATTGGACATGAGATTATTTTTGGTTTGGCAAACCCATGACTTGTGACTGAGACTTTATTATCCTGAGGATTCCTCAGGTATCTGCCTATGTGCAATGATATAAACTAATTGAATAGCATATAAGAAAAGTTATGATAAAGTCTCCAGGCTCTGCACCTGTGGCTCAAGTGGCTAAGGCGCCAGCCATGTAC